TATTTGAAATGCATTGAAAAAAGCATAAAAGACGTAAAAAATACCAGAAAAAATACTTTAAAAATATCAGTAATAACCAAAAAATACTTTAAAATACCAATAATAGCCAAAAAATACTTCAAAAAATATCAGTAATAACAAAAAAATTCTTTAAAAATACTAATAATAACCAAAAATTACTTTAAAAATATCAGTAATAACCAAAAAATACTTAAAAAATACCAGTAAGAAAAATACTAAAATATACTTTAAAAAACTCGAATTAATTCATTTAAATACATACTACAAAAAAAATACCAAAACATAATATAACTTTATCGAAATAAATAATAGAAAATAAAATCAAAACATGAAAATTCACTAAAAATACCAAAAATTAAAAGAGATTTTCCCTCTTTAATGTTGCCAAGGGAAATCCCTCATATTGAAGTCAGGTTTAAATTTTAAAATATGTTTAAATGATGTGCTTTCCATAATATTTATCCTGTGGTCAATCGATTGTCCCACGTTCATCAGTCATTCAAGTTTATTAATAGTCGAATAAAAGAAATAAATTCCTCATAAATCTGACAAATCCAACAAATCTCCCAAAGATTATTATGAAAAGAAAACATTTTCCATTCCACATTTCCAAATTCTTGGGTCAAGAGGATAATTATTTGTGCAGACTGTCGAATGGTGAATGGCGAAAGTGGGGAAAGGAGAAAGGCGAGGCATTGAGTGGTTGAGTGGAGAGTGAAAAAGCAAACAAGCTGAATGGCTGTCAACTTGTGGTTTGACTCCCTAATACCCACTTCAAGGCACTGTAGCACTGGAAACCTCTAAGCCCCAACCCCAACCCCAACGCCACTCCCCACTCCCCACTGGAGCTCTGAAGTTCACAAGTTGTCTATCTTTTCAGCAGCCATAGCCACAGCCCCACAGCCAAAGCATTCCCTCAGCATTCGACTCTCTTTTCAAATTGAATCAACACAATTTTCTTTGCCAGAATTATCATCATCATCATCATCCTTTTCGTAGACGTAGACGTAGTCGTAGTCGTCGTCGTCTTGGCGCTCGTCGTTTTGTGGCTCTTGTTTTTTGTGCATAAGTGACCAAAGGGCCTTTCCTCTCTTTTCTCTTCGAGTGAACTTTTGTGGTAGCTTGTGACAAGCCACTTAATTACAAAATAATAAAGATTTTTCCACCGCAGACACTGCCACACTGACGCGCCGAGGCACACGCTTTCATTAACACAATTCGTCCAACAAAAGTTTTATTCTAATTTCGGGGTCCATAATGACGACCTGGTTACACGGCCCTCGTCTCTCCCACCCGCATGGCATCTTGTTAATTTCAATTTTGGAAGAGTCCTTGGACTCCTGTGCCCTCCGCGGCTACACTGCAGTGGGACTCACGTGGCACATTGGGGGGGCCAGCCAGAGATTCGGGGGAGCTGTTTGTCTGATTTGATTATTAATTGAAATTATGTTTGCCGCGCGGCAACGCGCATTGAATTTCTGACAGTTTTGTGGCAGCCACCGCCGAAGTAGGGGAGAGGAGGAGAGGGGGACACCTCATTCGACTCCACTCCCCTGCAAAATCCCTGCAGACCATGCGATTGGCAGAAAATCTATTTTGATTATAGATTCCAGAGCGATGGCTGGGATGCTCAAGCAATGGAAACTTGAAGATACTAAAAATCTTACTTTGGGAAATTTAAATTTAGACGTGTTCTTTACTTTAGAGAAGATTTACAGTAGATGCAAAGGAGGCTCGAATTTGCATAGGGAATTGTTTCAAAAGAAACTTTGATTTCGATTTTCCATAAGTGGATATGTTTTTCGGGGTAAATGAAAGAATACCAGAAAATACCAAAAAAATACCAGAAAATACCTAAAAATACTAAAAATACCAAAAAATACCAAAATTTAGTTTTCGTTCCGCTTGCTTCCTGTATTGAGCAAAGCATATACAAAAAATGAAATGCCAAATTAAAATACCGACTTAAGTACTAAAAACCTATTTAATTTAGAACACCAAAAAATACTGTTATTAAAAAATGGGGTTGTGTCACTCCTTAAACCCCTTTTATAGAACAGTCTATGGAGCAATGATCCGTCCTCAAAAGAAATCCGTATAGCCCCCTCCCGTAATCCCCTGTGGCAGGCACATCTCGCACTTTGATATGCAGAAACATGTCAGATGCTTGGGGTTTCATCCGTTAGAGCCCCTTCGCCCCGCATCCCTCTTCTCTGACATTTATGATGACAGGCGGTGGGTCATGTGGTGTGTGTGTGTGTGTGCGTCATTCATTCCCATTCCAACTGATGTTGACACGTGCTACATCATCATAGATGGCGATTTTCTTTCTCCTGTGCCTCTTGTGTGCTGCCCATTTTCTCCACCCCACTCCGCTGCACCCCTCTCCGATGCTTGTTTCCTCTGAGGCACGTACAAAACATAAAAGTAACTGCACTGCGCTTTGTTGAAATAGTTGCAAAAGGAAAGCGAACGAGCAGCAAAGCACCAGAGGGCCACCGGGCGGCCACACAGGGCAGTGCAGGAAAAAAAATTAGAAAGAAAAACCAGCATCCATCCAGCAGAACGTCCAAAATTTCGACTGGACTTCAAAGTGTTGCAAATTGCAGCGTCACGGAAAGTGCGAGAGAGATTTCCTTCCCCTCTTCCTTCCGTTGGAGTGCATTGCACCCCAAAAAAAAATAAAGAAAGATACGAACTCCCGCAGACAGATAGAAACAGAGATACGGCTCGCACAAAAAAAAACTGCATAGCCTAATGACACGACGAAAGATTATGGCAGGAGAGGAGAGAGCACAGCACACAAAAGATACTAAATCTTTTTCAAAGTGCGAGCCTACATGCTGGCGGGGGGGGAGGGTGGGGCTTAATCGAAGTGGAGCCTGGGGGCGAGTGCTTGATGAATGGTAGATTTATCTGAAAGATCTTTTTGAGGCAAACACTCAAAGAGAATTTCTCTCTAGGAAGGGAAAATATCCACTAGATCCTATAGATCCCTTAGAAACCTTCAAGCGGACATTTTAGAGCACAATTTGAACAACATTAAATATTTATCCATTCGAAATCTTTAACATTATCCCAATCACATCAGTAGTAAGCCACTTTAAGTACACACATCGATAGCCCCACTTGAATCTAGGATGCAGCCAAAGGTTGTTTGCCCCATCCTCCACGGTCCCCTCGGGGGAGTGGCTGCCACCGAATGGCAACTCTCACTTGACTGCCCTGAAAGTGCATTTCATGTTCAAATCAAAGTAAAGTAAAGGTTGCCCCAGCAGCCAGCAGATCCTCCCTCTTTCACCCACCCACAAACACAAATGTTCACAGTTTTTCAATGTTGCCGCTTTAAAAATTTATGGAAAATGGATGGTTACCATGGCCATCATCTATCTGATGATAGGAGAACAGAAAGCAACGGCAAAGAGACGGCAAAACAAAAGCCGCTGCGAAAAACAAAGATACTTTGGAGGATGCGCCGGGAAAAAGGTTGCCAATGCCATTACCACAATGCAGCCATCGCCAACGTCATCGTCGTTGTAGTTGTAGTTGTAGTTGTGTTGTGGTAAGTATATCCTTGCAATGATTTTGCAACGTCCTTCTGTTTACCCACGTTCCTTGTCTACCTTCATGGCCGCGTAGATTTTGCTCCTCTGAGCGGAGGAAAACCCAGTGAACTGCAGTGAACAAGTGACTGCCACGGCCCTGGCCGGGAATAAATTATTAAATCATACACAAGTTTTAGTTTTTCGCTTTAAGCGGATGGCTTCGCTCTCTCTTAGATGGGATTTGCGGTGCTCTTAAGCCAGTTATGAATATGAGAGGCTTAAGCGACAACAAATTTCACAGTCAGCAGACGCACAAAGAGCGGCAGCGGAAGAGGGAGGGAGCGAGAGCGAGAGAGATGGGATTCCCTCCTTCGCTCAAGCGCTTAATTGAAGTCTCCTCTCCGGATAACAGCAAAGGGAGAAGAAAGCGAAAAAAATCAGGGATTTGGGCCATAAATCCTTGTAATTTGAGACAAGCGAGAAAAGAAGTCAGCAGCCGCCGGAATCGATAAACGCTTAATTGGCCGCAAGGAAAAGACATCTTGATGCAGTGGAAAATCCCAGGGAAAAAGGGAGAGCCTGAGGATTAGCTCTGTGAAGGTTGGCTCTCCTCCCACGGAGATATCCATCGGACATTATAATGCTGGGATTGTCACAGACCACCCTGGATTCCTTCCCCCGTCCTTCAGTGGGGAGTCCTTCATTAAAGTGTAAGTGGCATGGAATTTCATGAAATTTTAATGCGATAGCCTAACCCCTGACCAGGCATCATAATTGCCGCAAGTTTTTATCCCTCCTTCACACATATGCCACCATTTTATGAGGACAATGGGAGCCGCGGATCACATTGTAAATAAAACATTGTAGAGAATGACAAAAGGGCATCCATATCCATCGCCTCTCATCATAAAATGAGCAACGAACGAACGAACGAACGGAGAAAAAAACTCTGTTCAAAAGGCAGCAAAAGGCAAAGTGCCGCGAGTGCCGTCAAGTGCGAAATTTAAATTTGCATAAATTATACAATGGCCAGGACCCCAAAACGGAGAAGCGAGAGAACCAACCAAAAAAATAAACCCCAAAGACAATGGCCACAAAATGTAGCACACCAAAAAAAATGTGTTTTTGTGTAAAGTCATGAAAGATATATGAGTGCGATAATCATGAGGGCGTGAGATTTGAGTGGCCATAAAGTGTTTGACAAGCGGGAATGGCGGAGGATGGGGAGGCAAAAATATGAATACGCAAGAAATGTTTTATGGGGAGTCTAGTGAACCTACCTTTCATTTCATTTCAGTAATTCTCAAAAGTAAAAACAACCAGCCAGCCAGATGAAATTGCTGATATTCTTCTCTTTCGGTCTTCTCTTCCAGTGACGAAATCATTCTTTGATTTAGCTTCTCTTTGAGTGACGTAATCAAAGAGAGCAATGTTCCTCCGCTACGTGGTCCCTGAAATAATTATAGAAATGTCTTATTTATCATATAACGGAGAGTCTAGTGTAGAATTACCTTGCATTTTACTAATGCTCAAATGCATAAACAAACAGCCAGGATGAAACTGCTAATATTCTTCTCTTTCGGTCGTCTCTTTCAATGACGTAATCAAAGAGAGCCATTCTCCCTCGCTCCTTGGCCCTTGAAATAATTATAGAAATGTCTTATTTATCATATAACGGAGAGTCTAGTGTAGAATTACCTTGCATTTTACTAATGCTCGAAAGCAAAATCAACCAGCCAGGATGAAACTGCTGATATTCTTCTCTTTCGCTCTTCTCTTCCAGTTGCAAAGTTAAAGAGAGCTACGCTGCTCCGCTCTTAGATCCTCTCAGTGAAGTTACGGTTCTCCTTCCTGTGCCTGAAGTTGTTGTTGCTGGTGTACATTTCACTCGCGCACTAACACTCACTTGTTGCCCATATCGCCTCATTTCACTCCACATTGCCTTGCTCTCCCTCCCACACTTGCACTCACTGACACACTTGATCGCAGCATTTCACTCACTTTTACGCATTGCGCTCAATTTCTTACGCCGCTCCTTTATATAGTTCTTGCGGTTATTGTTTTTATTCACATGCGCTTGCAATTATGTACATATGTATGTACTTTCACTCTCACAGCCAAAAAAATACACTTTGCTTTCGCTCTTTATATATTTCTTGCGGTATTTTCACTCCCGCACTTTTTGCTTTTATCGCCTTCCAATTCCTGCCTCCTTGCGCCCCTTGCCGTCTGATGACCATCCTGCACAACAGCAGCGTGACTTGGTTCCGTTATTCCTTTTGCGTTTCCAGCGGAAACAATTTTCGCAGGCCGGTTTTTTCCATTTTTTCACTGTAAAGAAAACACTGCACTTGATAGTTTTCACACATGCTGCGATCATTTTTTCACATTTAGCTTTTCCTTTGGCTCTCCCCCACACACTTTTTCGGCTTTCCACTACACAATTGATCAAATTTCACTTTAAAACATTTTCTAGATGCTTCCGCGTTTTTATCCTCGTGCTGGGATTTTTGACAAAGTTTTCTGCAAATAGCGCTGAGATGAGATCATCGATTCAACAGAAAGCTTGAGCTTTCAAGTTCTAGAAAGCGCGAGAGCGCTGTCTTATCTGTAATCCTCTCTTCCCACTTTAGTGTGTGTGCAATATGACTTCATGGGCATTGCTGAGAGCGGCTTTGCGATTGCAATGTGTGAGAGAGAACAGAAAAGCTATATTCAATCAAGGTGACGCATTTTCTATGTTTGTTATGCATGCTGCCTATGCTGATCTCATGGGCCGTACCTGATGACATCATTGCTTTTAAAGCACCGTGCGGTTTTTGCTGTTGCTGCTTCGGGCTGTGTATCGTAGTTGTTGTCATAGCCTACCGAGGGTCCATAAGCGTAGAGCGAGAGGGGCGTACATGGGTGGGGAGGCTGTGAATGAGAGGATGAGCATGGAAAAGGTTCGTTAATGCAAAGTGATGCGATTCTCATGCGTCGTATGTAAAGTTGGCGAGATTTTCATGATTATCAAGAAATATTTTATTGCCAATTAAATTGAATTATCGATTAATATATATGTAAATGTATACATCTGTTCATATTTCCATCTATATAAAGAAATATATATTTACCAATAGAACTCTCTCCTTACATTCCCGTATTTTCACTCAATAGCCCATCATTTCACATTCAAATCTTTGCCAACATTAAATCTCATATACTTAGTTTACTCACAAACAACAACAAAATCCCCCTGGCCCACACAGAAACTTGGCCAAAGAGCAACAATTGTCAGGGCTAAATGGGCCCAAAACATTAATCACAATAACTAGCCACAAAATTTGACCCCTTCCCTGATACCCAAGCCCGAAAATCCCCATAAATACATACATACATATGTATGTATGTATGTCCCACAGCACAACACAAAACTATTAAATGGGGGAAGCACACACATGCATACAAGGCTGACTTATTACCAGGCAAGGGCGATAGGGAAAGGAGTCAGTCCCCCATCCAAGAATCAGAAGGCTAGCAGGCAGTCAGGCAGTCAGGAAAACCGCAGCTTGTCATAATAAAGGGACAAGGATCCGGGGGCGCACGTTTAGATTGGCCTAGCCAACGGCAGGACATCTACAAAACGGACGAAACAAAAGCAGTGGAGTCGGAGGATGTGATGGACAGGGGCCGACTCTCTCCCTCCTTTCTGCTACGTGACTTTGTGATTTTATGAGCGTTGCAAATGCCACACGTACTCGTGGCAAGGACCCCACACACAGACCATACCAAAACCAAATCCTTTGCATTAACACTCAACTAGTGTGGGGCGGGGGGGGGGGGGAGCGAAAATCCTGTGGCAATGCTTTTTATGGCTGTGTTTAGTGAAAAAAAGGATTCAACTTGATTGCACCCCAAAGAATCCCGGGTACTATGTGGCGGAATTTAATTGGCTGAAGGATGAACCCTGAAATGCTGAAAGGCAGAGACAATCCCCACCAATTAGGCACCGCAGACAGGACACTTGAAATGATCGGCATTGTAGGGGAAATTCCTCGGCAAATTCAATGCACAAAACATTTCTGTAATGCAAATAATTTCATTTTGATTGCGGGAAAATAAAAGCCACAAAAAAGGTGCCAGAGGAGGCCACGTTGTCTGTAAAGTTTTTCATATTTCTTTTGCCTGCAACGCCACGTTTTTTTAAAGCCTCGGAAAATATTTCAAGTGCAGCAAAGAAACAAAAAAAAAAAAACGAAAAAAAATATGGATACACAGAGAGGAAAACCAAAGCAAAAGGCATTTTTTGTTTTCGCCAGAGAAGAGAAGGAGCAGGAATTGGAAAGACAGCGGCAGCAGCAGCAGCAGGACCCAGCGTCCCGTTCTGTCTGGGGGCTGTCCTGCGTGTCTTTGTGGCGTGGCGGGGCCGGAGCAACGGCGGATTTCCTGATGATTTTATTGGGCCGCCAGCAAACATTTTTGAGTGTTGCCAGTAGCTGCCGCAGCAGCAGCAGCAGCACCAGCGGCCGACAACGGACTGCGGAATGCGCCAAAGTATTTGGTAATTTTTCTCCCTCGTCCCCCCAAAAACAAGTCCTTCCTTTTTTCCATCTTTTTCTTTCGGTACGGCCCAAGGCTAGCCAAAAGGATCTGGCATAAAGGATTAAGCAGTGGATAGCCCAAAGGCTTGTAAATTGTTGAGGGAGAACTTTTTTCATTCTTTTGGGTTTTTAAATTTCAACCGAAGAAGACAACCACACAATAAAATGTTGCAAAATATTGGTAGAATTTGTAATGGAAATCAACAGCGTAAGGAATGCAGAGGGAGAGAGAGAGAGAGAGAGAGAGAGCGAGAGCGAGAGAGAGTCCTTTCTGCCACATTTGTGCATCAGAGCATGGCCTGGCATTCGACTCCATCTGTGGCAGCTCCTTCTGTTGCAGCTCCTTCTATTTGCTTCTCCTGTGAGTCATTGCCACTCGCCTTCTGTTTAAGGGGGTTCTGTTCCCTTATTACAGCCGACAGCCGCCTGCAGGCTACTTATGGCTCAAATAGAAACCAGGCCAACACCTACTACTACCACACACACACACACATGTGGGGGATTGGGAATCGTATAACATTTCGCCAGAGTTCCTCCTTGGGCTTTCCTTTACGTATCGCTGCTTATAGACTATGGCATGGCTTCTGGGCAACTTACTTAGCGGTTGAGTGCAAATCTTATGGCAAAACATACATATACTATGAGTATATGAGTGTTTGTACACGACTGTATGAGTGTACGGGTGTACGAGTGTATTCGAGTGCGGGGCAAAGTGGCTGTTTTGTAGGTTTAAGTTGCAGTTACGTGCATGGGTATGTTTAACATTTGGGGTTCACGGTAGAATGTGATTGAAATGACTTATGAGGCAGCAATCAGCAAATGCTAAAGGGAACGAATAGAACTCAGAAACTGCCCTTAGACAGTACTCCTCCGTCGAGCAATCTTTGATACAAAACCCTGAGATATCTTTCCACAGATTTCTTTTTATCAAAGTCCCATAATCAGCCCCCACTCTTAAGCTTCTGCTTCGAGTAGTTGCCAAGCCAAAAACTTGCCAAAAACTTTTGCCAGCGTAAACTTTAAGCCTGCCATCTGATAATTATCACCGTAAAAATTAGAGAGTTTAAAACCTGCGAAAACTAATAATTTCCCCAAATTTCTCTCTATAATTTCGTTGCACTTTTCTCGCACTGCAACGCAAGAGAGCATTGTCCTCTGAACCGACAAATGCTTGATCTTATTTCAATGTCACGAAGTCATAGACCAGACAGAAGCCAGGCACTCGAATCGTTAATCATTTGGCCGCAAGAAATTACGTATACGTCAAGTGTGTAGCCGGTTAGATAAGCGGCCTGAAGGAAGCTCTCAAGAAAGAAGGGAAGAGAAAGAAGAGAAAGAGCCCGAAACAAGGTTAAGGTTTGGGTAGGACAAAGGGGTTTATCGTTTGATAAATGGCCCCCCAGAAGCTCCACTCTCTCGAAGACAGGGTTCAAGGTGAATACCTGAGAGCGCTGGCATTGTGCCCACACACAAAAAAAAAAGGAAGAAAGAAGGATAGAAAGCTGAGCAGCCGATGAGAGACATTCAAGGATGAAATTATGCAAATGAGCGCACACAGCAGGCAGCGGCAAACAATTTGTCAGGGAAGCGGTTTGGGGGCTACAAGCCCCGAAAAACTTTCAAGACAAATCAATAGAACGAGACCTCGATTGCAATTAAAATAGTTGTGTGGGGTAAAAGTTTTTCAAAGACGTGACTGAAAGGGTTTTCCACAGTGCAAACACACACACATACACACACACACACGTAGATCTGCCACTAATTAGGCGAAACGGGAAAATCAATAAAGGAGTAGTGCTACCCGCGATATTTATCCTTTCAGCTTTCGTATTAGATTTCGACAAATGCAATTTTACAAGCAACTGAAGACAGACAATGCACTTCAGCAGCAGCTTCGGTTTTCAGCTTCAATAAAAAGAAATGCTCTTTCTTATCCCAGAAAATACTGCCAGACAGGACTGTAGCATCCTACAGGATGTGTTGCACCATTTACTGCAGCCTGTTGTGTGTGTCTGATGCTTGGATCAAGCTCCACCCCTCCACCCCTCCTCCTGGCGCACTCCTGCCACCCGCCTTGTCATTTAACTGTCAGTTTCTCGGCTTGTTTGTGTCGCCCGGCTGTCGCTTAAATGTCGCCCCGAGGAGGCGCCAGAGCCCGCCAAGGGTTGGTAAAGTGCAAGGCGTGGCAGCGAATACAAATGGGAAATCTGTTGTGTGCGACTCCTTGGCGGTGATTATCTCTCCGCGGCCTGCCGGGATATTTTGACTCGAACGAGAGCGACAGACAGAGACAGAAGGAGAGTTCGATTGGCCAAAAGATAATTGATAAGGATAATTATATGTAAATGAAAATGGAGTTTAAAATCTTCGATGGATGCATATAAATTGTAATTATTTCTTATGAAATCTCTTTCGAAAGACCTCTTCTACCGCTTGCCTACGTTCAAAAATTAAGAAAAAAATATAGTTAAATTTTTAATTCAGATTTTTAAGACGTTCAAAAATTAAGAAAACAAAGATAGTTAAAGTTTTAATTATTTTTTGTATTCAACTTTTTCAGGCAGAATTAGGGAACAAAAAATCACTTAAAATAACGCTATTGGCCAGAACAAATTTTAAAAATACAACAAAATGTTAACAAGAAATGCTAAAAATAAAAAAAATACAAGAAATGTATTAATTTACAGAAAATTCCAAAAAATTAAATTAAAATAGCAGATAATACTTCAAATAACTCGAAAATATCAAAAATTAATTTATTGACTGAATGTTTTAAAAAATACAAAATATGAAATGTAAAAAAAAATTTTAAACAATGAGAAAATACCAAAAAATGCAAAAAATAAATAACTAAAATAATTAAACACACAAAAAAAATATTGACCTAAAATTCCCCCAAAAAATGATTAAAAATACAAAAAATTATTCATTGAATTGTCCAGAAATAGAGAGGTAGAGGTTGAAGTACTTCCCCACGGATCTATGCATGGACTGCGATCATTTCAAAGGAAATCCACTCTTAGTGTCTGGCTAAATCAAACGAAACGAATGTCTGATGGAAAAGTTATGAAACCCGTTGAACAATCAGCTGAATATCATAGAAAATGTTAGCCCATTTCTATATAAATCATTTGCCCGCCAATTGCCATCGTTCTCCATTCAGAATATTCAAATTTTCCAGCTTCCTCGCGCCGCCTAATTGATTGCATTTGCCAAAAAGAATCCACACAGAAAGAAAAAAAAAATTCAATAAACTAGTTAGCCAAAAGCCATGAAAAAGTGCTGAGAGGGGACGAGAGCGAAGCGATGAAAGCCAAACGAGAAACATATTTT